AAATTGATATAAAGAAATTACCATTGACATCCCTGTACTGCGTCGTGCTAGGCACCACCCTGGTATAAGGTGTTAAAGGATTCACTAGCATAAAAGACCCCCAGCCAACCAGATTCCTATACATTTAACAGTCGATTGTATTAACGACAAAACAAAAACACATCTGTTGAGTACGTCCATATGTTCGTAAGTGGTTTAATTTTTAGATAAGAGTCTGGCCGCTCTCTTCACCGGGTCACAGGCCCTAAAAAATGCCAACTAATCTATTTTTTAAAACATATTGCAGGTTAATAGGCACGCGAGCGCTGAAAGTAATGCATCTAAGTCTGAAAAAAGAGTATGCTCTTATCAAGTGTGGAATATCGATGTAAATATCTGAAAATACAAAGAAGTGCAACCTATCTTTTTTATAAAATTTTATTATCTTTCTTTTTTTATCTGAACTTTTACTTGCTAGAATGCCGATACCGAGATATCAGCGGAAAAAGTGTCTTGGAGTACCTTTCTTCCAAGATGGCGGTCGAGTCTAGGGAGTGTCCGACCCCAACTTTTAGTAGTTCAGATACAACGCCCTAATGTACCTCTATAACCAATTTTCAGCTTTCTGTTCAATTACTTTCGCTATTCGTGGAAATATGATCTAATTGACTGGTATCGAGATGTTACAGTTTCCTTTTGTTTACTTTTTTATGATACCTCGAGAATCGATTATCTTACATTAGCAACGAAAACCACAAGCCTCCCTAGGAAAAAAGGATTGTGTGTATGCGACCTGTGAACCATTTATTCTATTTAGAAAATTTTTAGTCTACTTTAACTCTTACTTATGTTACAACCTGTACAATGGGTTTTAGCAGACTTGTTCTCTATTGATACTGCTTACTATTGTATATTGGTATAATATAATTATTTCGATAAATTTCGCATCGTGACAGTACTAAGCATGGAATCAGTTAAGTTTCTTAAACTGTTGGGTAAAGGGGTTGAATAAACGGAATTTTTATCAATGATCCTACATGAAGGGTAAAAATTTGAAAAACAAAATAACTAACTTTAAGACCATGAGTTCAATTAAGAATAAATGCAAATATCTATAAAAGAAAGAATTTTGAAGAGCATGCAGTATTGGCTAGTGCGCTACTAATATGTAGGCACCTATTGATGTGCTACTTTAATGATGGGCAATAAGTTCGCACTTCCTAATGATTATGTTTCTTATCTTGAAAATGTTTTATCACATAGCACTGATAAAGGAATATAAGTTAATGACCACATATGGTTCCCATGGATAATGGTTTCCATCACTAGACATAATTAATCAGCAAATTAAAAACAGGCTAAATTTATAAATTGCAATTACTTTTTTGATTGAATATGCTACTTTTATTGTTAATCAGCTTGCTACTCGAGTAAAATAAGATTTTATCTTTGGGGTTCATGCCTCTATTAACCTCTTGATAATCTTTTTCGATTTCCAATTATGCATTCTCCAATTGATACGTTTAAATAATTGTAAAAATGGAATACTGATTAATTAAGCTTCTGTCTCAAGACCAAGATACTGATGCAAACCACACACACACAACCGGAGCTGTAATAAGTAAACTTCGTGAAGTCGTACCATATATAACTGGTCTGCTCAAAATTAAAGGTATTCAGGGCATTCGTCGAAAAATTTATGAAAAGCAGCATAGGAAGTTTTACCATGTAGAACCTCCATGCTTTGCAGACAACTGTTCTGTAAGCGGATTTGGATGACCCTACAAACTTTAAAACACATTGCAACCCTTAAGAAATCATCCTACCGTAAGACACTGTAAACACTCGTAGGGACGTAACAGATTCGCCACCGTTTTAACCATCTTTAACGATAAATTGATCCATCACAGCCGTGAATAACACGTAACTTTACCCCTCTGAACAATAAAACATTTCATTCTGGTTCGCCGATTCTTAAAAAGATGACCTGCGGGCACGTTCTTATTTTCCGTTTGTTTGCATATTTTTAGAAAAACTGGAGTTCAAAGTAGCAAAACTTGCATGCTTTTTAGCAAGTAGTACATCATCCCTAGGCATACGATCATCACGTAAACAAAGTCTTTCCTCCAAATACTCGGCGGGCGCTCTAAAATCCTTAAGATACGATCTAGTGAAGTTTCCAACCTGGCAGTTTTGACACCTTTAAATTCTCCAATTAAATTCTCTTTACGTAGACGCAAACAACTTTCGGGCAAATCTCATTACCAGTTTTCTTATTCGGCCCTGACCGGAACTGCGAACTTGGACCCGATATACGATTTGCTTTCCTTAACATTTTTTCCTTCCATAGGAAACAGTGCTTTGGTCTCGTTTTCGAAAAACGTGATCCCCAAACGGCGTAGATTGCTTTAGAGATATCTGCTTGCAAGTTATTTAGAAATATGGATAGTTTGTAATTTCTACTCGTATTTTGCCATCTGCGGAACTATACCAGAACAAGAACATCCAAGAATGGCAAAGATAAGTAGGGCTAAAACGCGTATTAAACTGGAAGAGTAACATGCCTAATGAATAATGTTTTTAGTTTCAACAGATTAAAAACAATCTGAAGTGTGAAATAAAATGGGAATTAAACTTATTTAATTAATGACGTAATAAAATTGCGTTATTATTGTATAATAAAGATAATAATGCGTATTCAATTAAACACTAACACGATTATTAATACATAATTACAATAGTTGACTGAATCACGCTTGAACAACTAGTAATTCCCAAAATCAATTCAAAGTAGTTGGTATAAAGTACTCTCCACTCCAAAAGATTTTAGGAGTTTCCCAAATCTCCATTAATTTCCATTAACAAATTCCAAAATATCATTTTTAAATTACATCTAATAACCATTTTCGTTTTAAACATTTAATTTATACATTATTTGATCATTTGACAGCTACATCAACTTCCTGTCAGATATACACCAGCTGATATCAGTGGCGTAACTATATTAATTTATTAAATCTTGGGCGTATCGTTAAAGCAATCCGAAAAGTTAACATGTTAGTTTGATATCTATTGGGGTTGAAGTTTCCCTTTGGCTACTTCTTCACTCATTATTTAATATAAATCGTTTTAGCCGATAAACTAAAGTTATATTCATTGATTTACATAAGATACAGTCAGCTATGTACAATCTTTTTTTAAAAGCCGCTTTTACAGGCAATTTTCGTGGCAATGCAAGAGCAATGCAGTTAGAGATACGTTACTGCGCATGTGTCATGACGCAACTTCAGGTGCATAGCAAAAATAATAGGAAAGTTCTATTTCACTTGCCAGTTTTGGCGCGCAGTTTCTAGTACTTTCTAGTAATTTTGTCAATACCACATTTTTGGTTCGCGTGTGTATTTTGTGTGTTTTTTTTTAATAGCAAGCGCACCGCATAACAAGTGTAACCAGTTTAATTTCCTTTTGTTTGCTCATACCTCATGGGATTTTATAAGTTTCAGAATACCTTCTGTGTAAACAACTGAAAGTTTCAATTTTTGAAAAATATGTTTCGTCACTAATGCAACACTTTTCTGAAACTCGCATCAAAGTTGGCACCAGAACAATTGCTAATGTAAAACCGTAATAAGTCAACTGCAAGCAATTTTAGAGAAATTACCATTGACATCCCTGTGCTGCGTTGCGCTAGGCGCCACCCTGTATACCTAAGGAATCAAATGTAATGAATTTACGCCAACTTTACTGTAACAAAATCCTCAAGTTCATAAAAACATCCAAAATTACTGCCCAACATGCACTCTCATTATACAGGCCAGGAAGACCATAATATACTTTTTCCAAGGTCTGAAAAAACAATCGGTAAACGATGTGCTCAGTACATTGCTCCAAGGCTTTATTCCATTCTACCGCGCGAAATGAAAAAGATATCTACCTATACCGCTTTCACGAAAATAGTTCAGGTGTGGATACTGGAACAGCGCTATGTACTATTTCGCGAATTGTTAATGGAATTGTTTAGTTTAGTTTATTATTTTTTTTATGAAATGAAGTCAAGTTTGATTTATATTTTTTTTGTAAATTCCCCATATCCATTACAAGTAGTTCAAACGACTTCGGATTTTGGCAATATTTATTTTTCTTAGTTTCCTTATGTAGGAATCTTTTGTATTCGGCTATATAGTATAAAAATAAATATATTATGTATTATTTCCTTCTCTTAGATGGTCAACAGGCCTTAACAATGTCAGTCTATATTCAATGTGGAATATCGACGTAAATAACGAAAATACAAAAAAAGTGCGTACCATCTTTTTTATACAAAATTTTATTATCTTTCTTTTTTCATATAAAACTTTACTTGCTAGAATGCACGGTTACCGAGATATCAACGGAAAAGTGATTTGGAGCACCTTTTTCCCAAGATGGCGGCTCGAGCCATTGGAGTGTTGGTCCCGACTTTTAGTATGTTCAAATACAAGCCCTAATGTACCTCTATACCAATTTTCAGCTTTCTTTCAATTATTTCCGCTATTTTTCCTAATTTGACTGGCCTAACGAGTTTTTTTCAGAAAGTTAAGCATAAATCGTGGTGCAGCTTTAAATTACATTAGGACATCTTCCTTGAATTTTTCTGCTGTGGTCTCTTTCATGATTTTCCCTACATGTGTTGCGCAAATCGTCACTTAGCTATTTTTAGCGCATTTTTTTAGAGGCATATGTTAAGTACTTTTTTTTTCGTGTTTTAAGTGCCAGTTGTCTCATTGCTTACTTAGGTTATCCCTTTTACACTGAAATGACGATAGAACGGGGCATTTGAGTGTGTCCCAAAAAACTGCGTCTGTTGCCTTGAAGATCGGTTTCACGGGGTATTGCTCCAAGCACCGTAATTGTTTATGTAATTTTTTAATTACATATTTTTTCCCTATAAATGAACCCTCTTCATTTCTGTGCCAAACTTTTCTGGAAAAATTGGTAAAATTATGGTGCTTAAATAAAAGCTGTACTGCTAAATTCACTTGGCGGCACAGTTTTCCCTTGTAATTAGGCAATTAACATCAACTTTCACAGTAAAAATCTCACGTACGATTACGCGGCTGTTAAATTTTCCGTATCCCTCGATTATGTGAACTCGTCTTGAAACTTTTAGGTGAAAATAATTGTTACGCCCTCAACTTATATAGATTCGATTTGAAGGTTCAACGAAAAATTCTTCTCTCCCACCCAATTTTTCTTAATATTGTCGCCAAAACCAAAAACCGAAACCAATATCTTCAAGTACCATGAAGGACACCCCTCCTACCCCCATCCCATCCTCAATATAGGGTAGGTGAAAAAAGCGGTAGTTGGTAGAAACAATTGAACAACATTGAATAATCCCTCTCATAACATTCCTTCTAGGTATGTGCTAAGAGTGCATGTGATCAGATTGAATTAATTTAGATGTAGAATGGAGCATTTTCTTGTCTAGTCTTTGTCATCCTAATTTTAGATTTATTATTTTCAATCTTCAGAGGTGCGCTATTTTGAGTTGGAATTTTGGAAAATGTTTACGAAATCAAAAAAGTTAAATACTTAATATGTTACACCTTTAGCTCTAAGGTACTGTTAATGCTGCGATAAATAAATTTATGTCCAAATAGGGCCCAAGAACTAGTAAGCATAGGCATCCATTAATGAGTTCACCTCAACGTAGCAAAACAAAGGACACGCCACCGATAAAACGTGAAGACATTGAGGGATTTTATTGGGAACCCACGGATAATATGCAGCCAAGTTCTAAGCCAGTTACTGTACCAACTTATCGTCGTAGTAAATCCTGTTTAGAAACCAAACACTCTCCCAATTATAATACGCCAGATATGGTACCCGATTTAGATCAGCCGTATAGTAACGTGGTATGGTGAATTATTGAGTTATATAAAACTTCAACCATTACCTCTTGTTTTAGACTCCCGATTTGCAACAGGCATTAACTAGAACCAAGCGATTATCTGTTATTGAAAATATCGATATACCATCAATTATTCAGAGTGCCACCGAAGTGTTTGTGCACGAACTGGGACTCGAGGATGATTTATGGCTTAAGGGAAATGTTGAGTATCGAGAGGTTGTAGCAGGTACTTACTTAATGAAGGAGGATTCAAATAAGGTACTTTGTTTCTTTTGGGAAGTTTTTTCAAATTCACTTCTGTTACAGGATGCTGCATTAGTGTACATTATTTCTGGGTCATTAACGCTAGCACAACGAATGACAGACACTGATGAGGATGTGCACATGTTCACGGCACATCCCGGTGAAATTGTCGGTGGACTGGCAGTTTTAACTGGAGAGACAAATTTTTTTAACATTCGTGCCAAACATTTTACTCGTCTTGCCATCATTTCAAAAACCACCTTTTATAAGTAGAAATGAAAACCTGCATTTCAGCATGTACCCACACTGTCATTTGTAGCTTAATGAAAGAGAAACCGGGTATCATCCTTTTTATTGCTGACATGGTAGTGAAACGACTCTCACCCTTTGTAAGGCAAGTGGATTTTGCTCTAGACTGGGTTTTTCTCGAATCGGGAAAAGCTGTTTACAGACAAGACGACGAAAGTGATTCCACGTTTATTGTATTATCCGGCCGTTTGCGTTCTGTTATCACGCATAAAAATGGAAAGAAGGAATTAGTTGGCGAGTATGGTAAAGGAGACTTAATTGGAATTGTAAGTTGAAAAGAGACTGAATTTTTGTTGTCTCACAATTGCGATAGGTGGAGATGGTTACCCAAACTAAAAGGAGTACAACAGTGATGGCGGTTAGAGATTCAGAACTGGCCAAATTGCCCGAGGGAATTTTTAATGCAATTAAATTACGTTATCCTATTGTAGTAACAAGACTTATAAATTTGCTAGGTCATCGTATTTTAGGTATGTTAGTTTGGTGCAGTAAGTAGTCATGTTAACTCACTATTATTGTAGGTAGTTGGAAAAAACCAAATTTAAATTTACGTACACCAAGTTCTCCAAGTTATTCTGCGTTAGATACTAGACCATCTCAAATAAATTTTTCAACAGTAGCGATTATGGCGGTGTCCGAAGATGTCCCATTAACGTCTTTTACTTTCGAATTGTACCATTGTTTAAGTGCCATAGGTATGAATAATATGTTAGTAGAAGTATTGGTCCACACCCTCTTATCACAAACGCACTGTATATACCAAAACTGACTTGTCCGCCATGTTGGAGCCCACTGACAATTCACGTTTGCAAAACGTTCTATGTCATGCATGTCTCTGTTATTATTTAAAAAAAAACATTGATTTTTTCAATGTTTATTAATGTGAAAATATTGACTTATTTATTCTATTGCAGTAAAGTCAATTGTGTGCACAGATTTGGATTGTCAGTGGGCTCCAAAGGGGCTGACGAGTCTGCTATCATAATCAAGTACTGTTATCGCCCGTAGCACACAACAAAAGAAATTTTGGAATAAAATTAGTAATAAAAAGTTGAAATTCTCTTGGTGTGTGCTGTTAGAAATTTGCAAATGCGTAGTCGAAGGCCAACTTTGGAATGGCATTGGAAAAAACCGGTTGCGCCCGTAGCGACAAAGCCGCATATTATAGTTCATTAGCCCCTTGGCTTTGGGAAGTGCGAAATTTTGTACAAATTATTTTTTTCTGACTATTTGCAATCCTTGCGATCATCGCGCCCTCTTGATTCAGAATCGGCATCAAATTCTGCACAATATCCGCATTTTTCAAAATGTATATCTTTGATTTCATATACCATGTTCGAATTTTGACTCCCAGATTCCCTACTACTAAGAATAGAATTTACAAAAATATTTAATATTTAGGGCCTACTTTAAGACTGACCTCGGATGTGATTCGCAAAACCTTAGGGAGTAGTATAATGGACCCAAACAACGAATATCGTTTAACGACGTGGCTGGCTCAGCAAGAAGATCAACATAAAATTGCATTGTATCAATGCGACTTGACCTTTAGTTTGTGGACGCAACGTTGCATCCGGCAGGCCGATTGTATACTAATTGTGGGACTGGGATTTAAACCGCCCACCCTAGGACAGGCACGTATTGGTCCTGATCTTCGTTTTGTACTAACGGCGTTTGCGTAGGTGGAGAAAGAAGTACAAAGACTAGCTATTAGGACGCAAAAGGAATTGGTCTTGCTTCACCGAGAAGATGGGCCGCGACCAAGTAATACGGTCGCCTGGTTAAATATGAGATCGTGGATTTCGTGGCATCACCATATAAAATGTTTCAAACGTACATTCTCGAGAAAGAGTTTATATCGCATTGTGAGTCTTAGACAGAGCGAGAGAAATGTTAAGATTGAAGATAATCATTTTACAGTATGAACTTTACGGGAAAGTTTGTCGATCTGAACCAAATATACATTCAGATTTTTCAAGGTTGGCTAGATGGTTAACGGGGAAATCAGTTGGCTTGGTACTCGGCGGTGGGGGGGCTCGAGGTGCCGCGCACATTGGAATGATTAAAGCTATACAAGAGGCGGGTATACCAATTGATATGGTGGGTGGTGTTAGTATTGGAGCTTTCATGGGTGCGCTATGGTGTCAAGAAAAGAATATCACTACCGTTACACAGAAAGCGAGGGAGTGGGCGCAGGTATGCGTTAAACAATGTAGCCATTTACAGAGGATAGGCTTATTGTAGAAAATGAACCAATGGTGGCGTCAAATATTAGACCTGACTTATCCCGCGACATCTATGTTTAGTGGACGTGGCTTTAACAAAACGATTCATGCCGCATTCAACGATACATTTATTGAAGATTTATGGTTACCCTATTTTACTATCACTACCGATATCACGGCCTCTTCTATGAGAATTCACAGCCACGGTGAGTATTTGCTTTGCATATCACAACCAAATCGATGTAGCACTATAAGGGATTGTATTTTCATAATTAATGTCACAGCATATGATTAGATGTTATAATTGTTGTTTACACATAATAGATGTTCAAATTGTGATTGGTTATCTTTTTTTGTTTGCATGCTATTCTTAGTAGTTCTTAATTTACATCATTTTTCACATTTTAACACAAATTGTGTAGTGTGTAAACATCAGACAACACGAATTTGCTTTACATTACTTGAGGTTACATATGCTTATGTGACACTACCAAATCAATTTCCCAACCATATCTCATATAAGGCTTCATTTGACGTCACTTGACTTATACTCGAATAACACTGGACCGAAGAAGCCATACTTTTTGCTATGGATAAATCTCAATGATTTTGAAGGTTATTTTAAAGAATTCTAAATTTGTAGCTAGTGTTGATATGGTACCTTTTGTAGATACGCTAGTACAGTAACTAGAAAATATATCAATTTAGTTTTTAATAATACAAAGTCTTGTAGAACTCTATTATTTTCGCAGGTAAGTACTATTACTTTTCCCTTGTGTAAAGGTATGCCCTGTTTTTATAGTTGATTAATATCTAATTTTTCCTGGATTAGTTAAATATAACAAACTCTTATTCTTTCATTTCTTTTTTCAACTCTGTAATTTTAACTCGTATGTAAAATTGTTGAATATGATATTAATTCCATGTCTTTCTTAAGTGTAAAAGTCCATATTGCTATATTTCTCAGCTGGCTGTTTCTTGTTTCCTTTGAAATAGAAGCAAAACTACAGTCAATGAGTCTCGTATTACTATTCTGTGACACAAATAATTGATACCACTGTTTAAAAAATCTGACCTTCAAACCTAGGAAGGTTCTCTTTGCTCGAAGTCACTTTGTAACTGAATTAAAATTATTTCAAAATTTCAATGATTCGTTCTTAACCTTCTTTTATAAATTTAACCATTTCTAGAGACTTATTTTGGAAAATTTAAATTTCTAGCTTTTATTAAATTGAGGCCGAGATTGAGGCTCACTTTTATTGTTATTAAATTGAAAAAAATACTAAATAGAAAAATTAATGCAAACCTTTATATACATATTGCAGACGTGAAAACAAACTGAACTTAAAACTGTAAAACTTTTTACTTTTCAGACACAAATTCTCACCTTCTATCTTGTCAATTTTATTCAATCTGAAAAAGATAAACGAAACAAAAAATCGCAAGTTATCTAAATCCGCCAGATATATCTTATCAACTTGAAATAAATCCAAATACATTTTATCAATAAATACTATTAAAACAATAATAATTCCCACGCGGAGTATGAAACAAAAACAGTGAACGTTCATATTTTTTAAAACAACAAATGACTGTATTCCTTTAACCTATTGTTTTATTTTGTATCTTTTATATGACATGTCGATTCAATTATCGTTCATTTTCATAATTTTGTTTAGTTCATTTCTATTTTTGATTCAAGTTCTTCGTTATCCTAAATGTTCTCTTTAATTTACATTTAAATGTTTGTCAAATTCATTTTAACATTAGGTCTTCCATTTCCTTCTACCAGTTTCGCAATTAATCTTAATTGTTTCTTCAACATTCAATTCTCTCCGTTCTTGCTTCATTACTTAATTCTCTATTTCACTTTGTATCATGTGCAATTTTAACTTTTATAATGAATTAATTGCCTTGTCACTACTCACTAATATATTCTTTTCCGTGTTGTCCATTTTCTTCTTTTCTTGCAAGTAATTTTCTTCATCAATATCAACTACACACCCACTCCCATGCATCTTGTTATGGAAATTGATAAATTAAAAAGTTTCATGAAGAGTTAGTTACGAAAATAAATAAGTATAAATTGTGGACAATTCTTGTGCAAATAAATGGCATTTTTTTAAATCGAAATAGCTTATTAAATGGTTGCGTTATAAAGTAGTAGCATGCTATACTCTCGGCTATACTATTTATCAATGGTTTCTTTCTTGTTAGATGATTATTGGGGAGACTTGTCCAGACAATTAATTTTGCTTTTGTGGGTATACTTTCCTCTGACAAAGCGTTTTCGAGATATTCGCTCATAAGGTCGCCAATAGCTATATTTCAATCAGACGTCCCAATCGCCCTTTGTGAGTACCATCCTCTGACAATCTGTACTTGAGATATAAGGAATTATTTATATCCGATCACAATAACGAGTCGAGGAGAAGGCTATGATTCGTAGAAGTTAATTCCTTTCGTTGTAACCTTTCATTAGAGTACCATGAAGTATAAAACCAGTTGCACCTCTCTGTGCCTCATACAAAGGCAGTTATAGCACGCTTCTAATAATTTTACACTTTTGCCTTTCATTATGCTTATTTGACAGTTGCGCAATATGCGCATGCGCACATCTGATGCTTACAATATGCGATATGCTTATCTTTACTAGAGACATCTATGCTAGCATCTATGGTTAAAATTTCAAGAATATATCTATAAATAGGAAAGTTACTGCAACATATCAAAATGTAAACATTTTTTTATTATACCTGAATCACAATCTCCGTTTTAAACACTCAAATGCGTGCGAAAAAAGGGCCTTTAAAACACACGTGCTTTAAAGTTGCTAAGTAACGATACTTCAAGTATGACTTTTGAAACTGTCATCTGGATGAAATAAAAAATCCTCTAGGTCGCTTTCTGTAAATGCAGAACATTTCTTTGGCTTTTGTACCTATCCTTTGGTTGAAGCTTTCACAAACGCGCGTAATTTAAGGTATGCTTCCAAATCTGTTCCACTTTTTAATCGCAGCATTGCTTTAAAGTTTTGAATGAATGCACCAAAATATAAAAGATTTAAATACCTTTGACATTTCCTTCATATATGCCAGCAGTATGGATGCATTTAAGACTGTATTCGTACTTCCTATTCATCCATGGAAACGACTTTTCATATTCTTTATAATAGGCTTTACTCTCGGCTTTACTGGAGTTGGATTTTACACCTACCAACGTTTGTTTAGATTTTACAACAATCGATTTAATGGACGGTGTATTATCTTTTTCAACGGAAATCATATAATTCACAAAGACGATGATTTTTTAAGCAAACGTCAAGTGACATTTCCATGGCAATCGTGAAATTACGAACACCCAGCCCACTTAATTAGACATGTTTTCGAGTATAACGTCAATATGACTTCATTGTATTCCCTATTTTTAAATTATACTGTAGGTATAATAAAAAATACTATAAGATACACGTGTATAATTGGTCTTTAAAGCACTTGCAACGTTAAAGGCACTCCGCTTTGCGTCGTGCCCTTAAACTCGTTGCGCGTGCTTTAAAGACTTGATTATAAACTTGTATCTTAATATACTATTTTTACAACTTTGTCGATTTCTGGCAACCTTTAATCCTTAGCCTGGGGTTTTGGCAATAATTTTACGTGAAGTTATAAAGTATAACTCAAACAAATTTCAGAAGTGCACGTAACGCTTTTATTTTGCTTAAAAGTTAACATTTGACAACATGCTTGCCCTTCCCTCCCCGAAAATGTTCAGTACACTTGGCCATTTATTACTTTCGTAACCAGCTCTTTATAGACTTATTAATTATGGTGTAGCAAATAATAATATAAAAAAGACGTTGATACCATCAAGTTTAAATAATTATGGTTATCTAATTTTTTTAATATTCCAATTATTTGCCTCTAGTTCACCACTGAAATAGAATAACAAAATCTTGTTTTGTTTTTCTCCAATTATGTACTTTTTTAGGCAATCGATTGTAGTTTATTCTCAATGCATGTATCGTAGTGCTTATCAGATAACCATCTTTTAAATCTTGTAATAGTATAATGTGTAGAAACTAATAATGGCCCTGACCACCGTAAAGTAGATATGAATATATTTTGCATTTTACAACATTTTCTCTGTAAAATTTTGAAGAATGCAGTTATGTGTAATTTTCATGATGATTGGTTATGGATATGCTGTGTTATTGTGGCTAGAAATCGTTGATGGATTACAAGTTTTAATAATTTATTTGTCGGTGGTGGATATGTTACTGTAATATCCATCATTTTTAGATGTCCAGTTTGCGGTTCCGGGTATGTATCGTAGATGTGAGTTCACGAGCACACTTTTTTGTATCACGTTTTTGTTTGTTCACTTGCAGGGTGTTCTCTATTCAATACAATTTTAAATTTTTGTAGATATTACCATTGACATTCAAGGTAAGTTTTTTGTCTTCTATTGTGTGCGTATTCTTTTAAGTAAATACTTGGGAACAGTATGAAAATACAATCTTGATAAAGCTAGTAATTAGCCATAAAAAGTTGATTTTGAATTTGGATTACCCTGTGTAAACTCTTAGATGGCTATGGGCTTAGTTGAACTCTTGTCATAGGCTCTTTATGGCGCTACGTGAGGGCATCCATGTCGCTATCAGGTTATATGCCACCACTCTGTGACCCAACTGATGGACATCTGTTACTCGATGGAGGTTACACCAATAATTTACCAGGTAATTGCATTTTACTAAAATTAACTAAAGAGACTGCATCAACATCTAAAGGTATGTTTTTGTGTGTTTGTCTACTAATATAAAGGATTTGGGATGCTTCATTCTTCTGATAAAAAGGTAACCAATCACAATATGAGTCAATTTTTGTCATTTTTAAAAACAAAAGTGCTTTAATCAGAATTGAGTTGTTCAGCATAGTTAACAATATTGAATATTTAGCACAAATTGTATGACAGGTCATT